ATATATATATATATATATGTATATATATATATATATATATATATATATATATATATATATATATATATATATATATATATATATATATATATATATATATATATATATATATATATATATATATATATATATATATATATATACACTCACACACATACACACATACATCTAAAATCTCAAATGTTTTGTAGATGCACAAAATGATCAATAAAACTAATCCACATTCTTTAAAGTGGTATAAATAAAATAAAAAATTATTAAGTAATATAATATATACTGAGTAAAAGTTGTAGTTATTTTCAATTTAGTTTTTTTGGCCTCAACAAACAAATGTCGAGGACTTGACTCCATATACCTCGGTATTGATCAACCGTAGCGCAGTTGTTAGCGCACTTGATTCAGAAGCTAGAGATCCGTTGTTCAATGCAACCTCTTGGCAAGTTTTATAATATTGATAAGGAAGGAGGCGTGAACTTCCTTTCAAATCCTCTTCCGCCGTATTCTGTGATAAGACCGTAAGGACTTCTTAGGGCACCTAAAATAAATAAATAAAAAAAAAAAATAATAATAATATTATATTTGGTTTTGGCAAATGTATTAAAAATACATCTGTACCAGCCTAATAGATAAAGAAGGGGTGTGAGGCTGGTCAACAGATAAAATCTGTTTACTCTTTAAGTCTTTACCTAGGAGGCCTTCTACAAGACAGTAGCAGGATGCGTTTAACATCTGGTTGAGATGAATATTTTTATCAAGACACCATCTCTAGCATTTACTCAACCAAGAACCCCAAGGCAGGGGGTGTTTTAAGTTAGAGTTGACTTCTCCTAGCCTTTGCCTAAAAAAGTGTATCCTAAAAGACAGCAGGACATAAAGCAGGTTGTTCTGGGTTACATGTTGCCAGCAACAGGATAATCTGAGCTGACCTCAACTTGTACCGTGAACTTAGTAATTGAACTTAGTAACGTCACTTCCCGTCATTTGCAGCAATATAGTTAAATGAACTGAAGTTATATTTATTTTTAATTTAATTATAGATATAATAGATAATTATAGATATAATATAATTATAATTATAGATATATAATATAATATAATTATAATAATAGATAAATTATAGATATAATATAATATAATATCTAATTATAGATATAATATAATTTAATTATAGATAATTGATATGCTATATAATTTATTTTGTAGTTCCGAATTTGTGTTTTATTTTATATTTGATAAAAGCCAAAATATTTAAGAAAAACTTTTTTATTATCGTTTTAAAACAGTGTATAAATATAAATACTTCCATTTGAATACTTTCTTTTACAGATAGCCAGTTAAATCTAGTCAACTTATCATTACTATGTGTGAACCAGTCACATTTCAAGATGTTCTCATAGCTTTGTGTTGTAACTTTTGTAACATTAAAATATCATTTTCATTTGCATCAAATAATTAATCAAATAATTAAGGATATTTCTTAATAATTATATTAAGAAATATCCTTAATTATTCATCAAAGAATAATTAAGGATATTTCTTAATATACTTAAATATTTTACTTTGTAACGTGTAATCAATATACTCAATGGCTTACATTCAGTTTTAATCCATTTTGTATTAACCAGACAAGTATTTACAATTCATAATTTAACTTCATCATCAGTTATTCATAGTTCTTATCTTCAATATAGACTAATGTGTCATCTGCAAAGAGATTATTTGGTAGCTAGTTCAGATGATAACTGATCACCAGTTCTTACTCTTTCAATCCTTCCTGTTAATTGACTTTTGATCCATTGAAATACTACTCCACCCAATTTGTAACACTTAACTTTGCAATTGATATTTTTCTATTAATTGTTTTGAATGCTCTCTCTAAGTCTAATATAACTGTATTGATGAATATATTGCAGCGTTTTAAAAAAGGTTGTTGTTTCAGTAGAGTGATTTTTTCTGAAGCCAAATTGATTTTTATTAAATAGCATATTTTTTTCAAAATAAGTAGACAACTGTGTATATGCACATAATTCAAAAACTTGCTCAACAAACTTAGTGGTCTCATGTCTTGTGATAACTTGGGCTATTTCACTTTCTGTATAGGTATTATAGTAGATCTTTACCAAGTTTTAGGTATAAAACCTGTTTTAAAAAATAGATTATTTATTCTTAAAATGTAAACTCTTGTTTGCTTTGTATTAATACGTAAACACAACCATTTCATGGTCTGAACCTTTATGATATTCATTTTGAACAATGTCAAGAGGTAAATCACTTAAAAACATATCACTGTACTAGCAGTTAGAGTAATTCTTGAAGGTATAATTTAATTGTTGATTATTCTTAAACTTGATTTTCTTATCACTTCAAGAAAATGTTTGTAAAAAGGTGAGCTGTTTAGATTTCATAACGGATCAATAAAGTTAAAATCACCCATAACAATGATGTCTTTATATATACATAGGTATAAATATATATGGTTGCTATATTTTCAAATTCCGTAAAATTGTTTAGGTAAATATTGGGAATATATTTTACTCTTAATTTTGCTTAATTTTGCTAATATATTTTACTCTTTTTTTTTTAAACTTTTCATTTTACTGAGTGAAGAGCTTAAAAATATGTCACTATCGCACCTAAACTTTTCAATATTTTTAATATACTTTTTAAATAT